GTCAAAGAGACCAATCTGAAAAGGCTACATATTGTACGATTTAAACTATGTGACATTCTGGGAAAGACAAAACTATGAAGAAGGTAAAAAGATCAGTGGTTGCCAGGGGTTGGGGGAAAGGGAGAGATGACTAGGTGGAGCACATATTTTTAGGGCAGTGAAACTATTCTGTATGATACTGTAGTGGTGGATACATGTCAGTATGTATTTGTCCAAATCCTATGGGACTGTTACATGTCACAAGTGATATGCTCTGACACTCCTGGGAGACCTTAGTTGCCTAAGGTGCCTTTCAGCCAGGAGGTACAGTTCCCCTTGTCTTTGGGACTTACCTTGTGCTCGTAAAGTCTTTTATAAACTTTGGTCACTCAAAAGGAAATTTTAAACGTGCCAAATTGAATGGAGCTTTAGATCTGGCCAGTTTAAGAAAATTTGCCTAAGATGTAGACATTTACTTCCTCTTTTCAAAGAGCAACTGCTTTCTCCATGATAAAATTTCAAATGAGAGAAAAGGTTACAAACTCTAGTCAGCAAGACAAGCAAAACCTTAATCTCAGAGAAAAGTGAAAAAATCACAAATATACATAAATAATAGAATAAGAGAATAACAAATGAAACTCCTACCTTAAAGTAGGGCTTCAATTCCAGTCTCATCAGTTGTTGAATCAGGTTGCATAAAGTCTGAATCTCAGTCAAGCCAGGGAGATTCAACCCTGTGAGTGGTCTGACCAAGGGCTTCTGCAGTGTTCAGCGAGGTCAGTTGGATGCAAACAGTCCATGCTGGTGCCAGGGCTCCAGCTGTTGGCAAAACAGCAGGGGTCAATGGAGGCCTAATTTGGGTCCCGTCTGGTTGGCCAAAATGTCACCCTGAAATAATCAAGAGGCTCAGAATCCAATTTTAAAAGAGTTTATTCAAGTGCCAAATTTGAGAATGGCCACCCAGAAAAAACAAGACTCCAAAGTAATTGGGTCAGTGTTCCGAAGTGGAGAAGCTAAAGCTTCACTTTCATAAGTAAAAACAAAGAAGTTTAGGAGTATTACCACATTTTTAATACAATGCCGATTTATGAATTACAGCAGTTTGGTTGGTTACAGCTTATTCTTTTTCAGGAAAGATATATTTAAAATTGCATCTCTATCAATTTGGTAGTCATGGGGCCTTTTGCCATCTGAGCTGGGTACATGAAAAAGGAAGGACGTTCATCTATAACAAAGAATTAGTAACTAAGAGGTAAAGGGCACCATTTAATCTTTCACAACATTTTACAGGGCAAGAAAAATAAGAAAGAGGGCTAATTTATAATAGGAAGAAACAAAAGTTGCAGTGGCTTGCCTATATTACATAGGTATTACAGTCAGTCACATTTTATTCAAGGCTCAGAGTAATTTGAAGTTTCAACAGCTTTCATTTATTTTCACATTAACCATTTGAGTCTTCATTTCAGTATATCTTCTTTCTCATTAGGGAATCAGAGTATTTTCTTTTTTTTGTTTTCTTGGCAGGAAGTCCTTATATATTCTGTCCATTAATCACTTAGCAGTTTTAGATGTTGCAGGTATTTTATTCATAATCTGTCATTTGTCTGTTAACGTTGCCTATATCTTAAATAGAAGTTCTTAATTTTAACTTAAATAGAAGTTCTTAATTTTAACATATATAAATTCATCAGTTTTTTGTTTTATTGTTGGCAATTTGGAGCTCTTGTTAAAGAAATCCTTCCCCACTGATAAATTCACAAAGTTGGGTGTTTATTTCATATATTGTATTGTTTCTTTATCGCTACCATAAGTACTTAAGATTACAGATTTAAGATTACAATCCTAAATCTTAAATTTACAATCCTAGGTTGGTAGTTTTTGAACCTACTAAGATTCAATAATTAATTTCAAGAATCGAGGTAAAATTTATGTCATAAAATTAACCATTTTAAAAGGTGCGTTTCAGTGGCATTTGGTACATTCAAAGTATTTTACAACTGCCACCTCTGTTAAGTTCCAAACATTTTTACCGCCCCAGAAGAAAACCCTGTGCCCATTTAGTAGCTACATCCCATTTTCCCCTCCACTCAAATCATGACTCTCATCATCTGTCTCTATGGATTTACCTATTCTGTATATTTCGTGTAAATGTAATCATACATAGCCTTTTAAGTCTGTCTTCTTTCACTTAGCACGTTTTCAATGTTCATCTATGTTTTAATATATAAATACATGCTAAAACATTTACTTTTAAAAATATATAGGTATATACATTTCTTATAGCTGAATGATATTCCATTCTATGTATATATCATATTTTGTTTAATCTTTTTTCCATTGATGGATATTTAGGTTGTTTTACCTTTTGGCTATTGTGAATAGTGCTATTTTGAACAGTTGTGTACAAGTGTTTGTTTATATACCTCATTTTAATTATTTTTGGTATATACCTAGGAATGGAATTACTGTGTCATTTAGTAATTCAATTTTAACTTTTTAAGGAACCACCAAACTTTTTTCCCTAGTAACCACAACCCCTTATTGTACATTTCTAGTTTCATTCCATTGTCATCAAGGAAGATACCTTGTGTGATTTTAGTCTTTTAAGATTTATTGAGACTGTTTTATGGCCTACTATGTGGTCTACTCTGGAAAATGGCTCATGTGCACTTGAAAAAAAACATATATTCCTGCTGCTGTTGGGTGGAGTCCACCGTTTTTAATTTGTCCTTTTCTTGGCTCAGCATTTGCTTGATTGCTGTAAACCTTTCCCTCTCTCCGAGAGTTTCCACAATTGATTCTGACAGTTTTGCTCATTTTTTTCTTTTATTTTTCCGTGACAGGACAGTCCTTCGGAGCTACCTATCCTGCTGTATTTGCTGATACCACTTTTTATAATTACTTTTTACAACCAATATTTTGTATACCCTCTTTAATATTGTGGGATAAAATATATAGGTGATATAACAATACACAGATAAGTTTTAAAAATCAGTATAATGCTTTAATTGTAATATAAAAGAAATAAAAGTAATTTATAGTAAGGTAGTATGAATTTGTTATGTAAACACTAACATGACATTGGAAAGCATAGTGAAGTACTAGTGTGTTTTAAATAAGTTGGATTAAAGAAATGTAAGAAAAATCAGAATCCATTCTGTACAAGTGCTGATAAATGAAAGTTTAAAATCTAGTCTTAGGCCGGGCACTGTCGCTCATGCTTGTAACCTCAGCACTTTGGGAGGCTAAAGCCGGTGGGTCACTTGAGGTCAGGAGACCAGCCTGGCCCACATGGTGAAACCCCATCTTTACTAAAAGTACAAAAATTAGCTGGGCATGTTGGCCAGCGCCTGTAATCCCAGCTACTGGGGAGGCTAAGGTGGGAGAATCACTTGAACCCTGGAGGTAGAGGTTGCAGTGAGTCAGGATCACGCCACTGCACTTTAGCCTGGACGACAGCCTGAGACTCTGTCTCAAAAATAAATAAATAAATAAATAAATAGAATCTCGTTGTAAAGACCAGACCTTTTTTTTTTTTTTAGTAATACAAGGAATGAGAGAAACTATCTGAGGTAAAATTAAATTAATACAAATTATAGACTAAAGTGGTGAAGTAAAGTAGAAAGCATGGTAGTCTTACAAATTTGTTGGACCTTAGTTGGGAAAGCAATTCTTTAGTAAATAATGAAGAAATATCGGAGAACAGATCTTTTATTTTAAAATCCTAACATCTATCAGGTCAAGTATTTAGTCTTGAATACTAAATATCTTTGGAAGCAATACCCTTTCATTGATAATGAGATTTAAAGATGGACTTTTTTTAAAAAAATGAATTCACTGATCTCTGACTAGTATCAAAGTTAAGTTTGAAAAAAATAGGCAGTTACTAGAAAAATAAATGAAAGATTCAACTGATAATTTTTACAGTACATTTTTTATTTATGCACAAATACTGATACATGATATGCAATATTTTTAGAACAACCAATGAAATTAAATAAGATAATTTTATTTCATGTGTTACCATAATTTAATATTTGGTACTGTTAAAAGAGTCTTACATTCTCCATTACATATTTTAAATTGGCTTTATTGCTTTTGCAGTGATTACACCTTTACACTAAAACATTTTCAAATAAATGCACAGTTTAAAATACAAGACGCTGGGCTCAGGGACTCATGCCTGTTAATCCCAGCACTTTGGGAGACTGAGGTGGGAGGATCTCTTGATCCCAGAAAATCGAAACCAGCCTGGGCAACATAATGAGACCCTGTGTTTAAATTAACAAAAACAAGTGTAACTTTCTTCCCCAGAAGAAGATAATGATACTCATAACTTGATTCAGAAGCTACTGTTTAAATTGTGTTTGGCCTCCAGGTAGTTTGTTTTAGCTTAACTCTTAACAAATGTTGAATTGCTTGTTTCCTACACATTTCAAATGGAATAATCACCCTTTCTATACTGTAAGTTCATAAAGATCTCATTGCTCAGTGTATCTTTTAAAGATAGAGTCATGCTTTTCCTGCTACCTAGTTATGGTGACAGTTAAATGAAATGTTTTTGAAAGTTTATAATGTGTTTATAAAAACTGTGTTAAAAGCATTACTATTAATATTTTAATAATAAGTATGACCTCGCATGTTCCAGAGGCTATTCCCTTGAGATAATTCAGTCTCAGTCCTGAGTCAACCTCACATTAAAAATTAATTCATAATTTCTTGCCTTAGCTTGCCCCTTAATCAAAATCACTTTTTAGGGGGAGATGTGTTTTGTGACAAAAGTAGTTTGTCCTTTGGTTATTGTATGTTTTGAAAATATGGAGCGAACTTCCTTGCCTTTATTAGCACTTTCCAAGCTGGCGTTTTGTCTTAGATGTGTAACTACCTTTATTTTCACAAGAACAACCTGTCTTCACGTAGATTTAATTGCATTGTGATTTTTAGTTGTGGCATGTATATGAATGTGAAAAGCAAAGCAAAACATTTAATAGTTTTTTGTGGCTTGTGTTTTTGATTTGCAGCCTTCAGGCAAACTAAAGGTACCTGAGGAGAATTTCTTCAATGTTCCTGCTTTCTTAACTGTCTCGGGACAACTTCATCTAGAAGTAATGTCAGGGTATGAAATTTTCCTTTCTCTTTTGCTTTAATATGGTTTCTTTTTTATGGTTTGGTTGAGAGTCCTTCCCTTCCCATGCTCAAACCTTAAAGTTGAAATTAGTCTTTATCATTAGTTCGCTTGAATTTTCCAAAATATTCAAGCTTCTTACTTATAATACAGACTTTTGTTTTTAGTGAAAAATGTAACACTGAAAACACAAAGTTGTGATTTTTTTTCTTTTTACTAATGTTTCTTATTGAATCCCAAACTTGTAATCGGAATTTATTTTAATTAATCATATTTATGGAAGTAAAGGCAATTTATAGTTTATTCCTGAACCAGGTATTAGTCCATTTGATTTTAAAGAGAGTAGTATTTGAAACAGACAGAAGAATTTTTTTTTTCAGTAATTGGTTTAATTAAAATTAACTCATACCTACATTTTGAGAGGTGTACAACAAATTACATCTTTTAAGTCAGATCAAATGAATGTTAGCAACTGTCAGACCTCTGGAAAGTCACTGTACTCCTTGGGGCCTAACTTTTCTTTAAAACAGGGGATTGAGCAAGAAGATCTTTAAAACCCTATCTAAATCTTATATTCTGTAATTCTGTGGGTAATTCCCATTTATGTTTATTTTTTTTAGAGATGGGATCTCGCTTATTGCCCAGGCTGGAGTATAGTTGCACAGTCATAGTTCACTGTAGCCTCAAACTCCTGGGCTCAAATGATTCTCCTGCCTCAACCTCCTGAGTAGCTGGGACTGCAGGCATGTACCACCGAACCTGGCTAATTTTTTGTAGAGATGGGGTCTTGCTCTATACCAAGGCTGATCTCAAACTCTAGGTTCAAGTGATCTTCCTGCCTTAGGCCTCCCAAGTAACTGGAACTCCAGGCATGTGCCAGCACACCTGGCTAATTTTTTAAATTTTTTGTAGAGATGGAGTCTCACCATGGGTCCTAGGCTGGTCTCAAACTCCTAGCTCAAGTGATTCTTCTGCCTCAGCCTCCCAGAGCACTGGGATTACAAGCATAAGCCACTGAGCCTGGCCTTTGTGGGTAATTTGTTAATGCAAACTCAACAAGTACTTAGTTTTCTCTGTGTATCTTTTTCTTTAAATATTTTCTCATTATAGGGATTAGGACTTAAAATCTTTTCCAGAGATAGCTCACTTGAAAGGAAAGGAATCTTTTTGTGTTTTTCGTTGTTTTAAAAATGCACAATTGAGAAAACTCAAGGAAAATGTAATAAAATAGTTTGCATGTTTACTTTTGTACTTTGCTAGAAGAATGGAAAGTCAGTGGTGGAATAAAGATGGTCTTGAAAGTAACATATTCTTTTCTGATTTATCTTTGAAACAAAAATATGTTATTTGATAGTTCCAATAACCAAATGATTGTCATTATTAGCAGAACACCATGCAGAAAAAGTGTCATAATAACATTGTGAGATTATAGGATTTGCAGATCTGATGTAGGAAAGGCCGTGTCAAGCATGTCATGGAAAGTTCTTATGCCTACGGAATTATAACTTTAAAAAATTAAAAACATGACTCATTCAAATACAAAATGAATATGTATCAGAGATTTCATTCAATTCATCGTATTACAGAGGAAACAAGTAAAATAGAAAACTGTTTCAAAGAGCGTCTGAGGACCTCTGTATTTATAGACATTTTAATAGTTGGAGTAAGATTTACTAGGTCAGTTACAAACTGGTTAATGTCCTACAGGACCAATACACCCTAACCTTTGGGATTATCTCTTCTACCTGACAGAATTTTTTGCAACTCTACTGGCAAAGATCTGTAAATTAACATGTAACTTCACTTAATATGGGTTATTTAGTTCATATTCATATTCAAATATTCAATATGCATATTGAATATTTAATTCAGTATTAAATAGACTAATGGAACAAGTACATTTCCCTTTCCCTAAGTAATTAAGTAACCATTGAATGGGCCTTTGTCCCCTTATTATTTAATACCTTGAAAGGGTATCATCTTTTTAAGACTGCAGCTTTTGGCATTATATTCAAGGTTTGGATAACCTTTCTTAACAGCCTTTTAGTATTCATTTCTATTATTTATAAAGTTAGAGGCAAGGTGTCGTCTCCTCCCTCAGAAGTGTCGTATGTGAAATATATAAACTTTGCAAATGTTTGTTTCTCTAATGTAATACCACTAGTGTATTAAATATGCCTCTTTCCCAGTAAGCGCAGTGAACCACAGAACACAGTGTTCTGTGAAACTTGACAGAAGATTAAATTGGTAGAATATTAGGTTTTGTATTTTTTAGTGTGCCATGAAATATTTCTACTACTGTCATTCAAATGTTCCTAGTTTAATATGCACAGTTCTAGGACTATTAATATACAGAACATAATGTTTCTGATTAAAGCATGATTTATTCTCCAATAAGAAATGGTTAGTCCTTTTTCCCTCAGCTTTGTTTTTTCTTGAATTCAATTTAACAGACTTTATAAAAGGCAAAAGATTTATGCAATCTGAAGAGAAACCAGAGTATTAACAGACTTTTAAAATGGAGAAAGTGGTAGTTAAATTTAGACAGTTAACATTTTCCAAAAGGATATCTCTGTTGGTTTAGTGAGTTTATAGTTCCATTTTAAAGCTTTTTTTTTTAAAGTAAATATTCTATGTTGGAATAATTTTTAATATATAGAAAGTTGAAAAGATAATGCATAGTTTTGTATACTCCCCATCCAGTTTCCCCCATTGTTAACATCTTCCATGACCATGATACCTTTGTCAAAACCAAGAATTAAGTGTTAGCACATTAGTATTAATGACATTCTAGACTTTATTTGGATTTCACCAGCTTTTCCATTAATATCCTTTTTCTTTTTCCAGGATCCAGTTCAAGGTACCACATAAAACTTAGTTGTCATGTTTCCCCAGTCTCTTCCATTCTGTGACAGTTTCTCAATTTTTCTTTTTTATGACCTGTGGAATGTACTCTAATCTGGGTATGTCTGACATTTTTCTCATGATTAGACTAGGGTTATTTGGGTATTTTGAAAGAATACCACTGAGGCAAAGGCTTGTCCCGTCACATCGTATCAGTGGGTATGTGATATCCATACGATGATACTAACTTTCATTATTTGGATAAGGTAGTGTTTGCCAAGTTTCTTTACTGAAAGTATACTATTTTTTTCCATTTTCTTACTCTAATTTTTGGAAGTAAGTCACTAAGTCTAGTCTGCCCTCACTGGGGATGGGAGTTTGGGAGGAGGGAGTTGGAGTTAAGAACCACGCGCAGGAGGGAGAATGTTTGGAATTCTATATGAAAATTTGTTGTCTTTTTATCCTTCTTTATTTTTTATTTGTGTAATCATTTATATCTTAATGGACTTATATATTTGATAGTTTGAGTTATAATTCAGTGCTATGTTATTTACTTTGATGCTTAAAACTGTTTTAGTTTTTGTTGTTGGAAACTCATTCAGATTGATTCTTACATCCCTTTGACATGCCCCCCCATATTTTGACTACTTCCTTATTCTCTGCTACTGCAAGATGCCTCAGCTTTTGTTTGTTTGTTTGTTTGTTTGACATTCATTCACCACTTTTATTTGGTTTTCTTTTTTTATGGTCAGTAAAATTACACTGACATATTATTATTCCTCCAAAGTCCATAGCTTTCATGAGAATTCACTCTTGGTGGTCTGCATTCTATGCTTTTGGACAGATGACATGTGTTCACCATTATAGTAACGTACGTAATAGTTTTTGTTGCCCTAGAACTTTTCTGTGCTCTTCCTAGCCATCCTTCCTTCCTAACCCCTGGTAACCATTGATTGTTTTACCATCTCCATAGTTTTGCCTTTTCCAGAATGTCATGTAGTTGGAATCATACACCATAGAGCCCTTTTAGATTGGCTTCTTTTGCTTAGTAATAGGAATTTAAAGTTCCTCCAGGACTTTTCATGACTGGATAGCTCATTTGTTTTAGTGCTAAATAATATTCTGTTGCCTGGATGTAACATAATTTATCATTTCACCTGTTGAAAGATATCTTTTGGTTGTTTCCAAGTTTTGGCAAATTTCCCAGGCTTATTTTTTAATTTTCCCTTCCCTAGTCCTAAAAATTAGTTATTTCTCCAAAGAGCCCTGGTTCCTTTTATTAGAAGATGGTATTTAGAAGCCAAGATTGGGTCACTGGATATGTTTGCTGTTACTGAGAGATTATTGCTTTTAAGCCTTTCAGTAGACAGAGATTTTTTTTTTTAAAGTAGAGAAAGCTAAGTGGGTTTTCATTGCATTTTGCTTATGAATGTAAGTGGTAAGTTCATTCCAAGAGAGATGTAAATTGTAAGACCTGCAATTAAGAAATGTCACATAGTGAAGTATTCCGTTTATCATCAGTTAAAGTTAGTTGGAGAAAGCTTCAGCCTAAAAAGAAAGAATTTGTATTATTGTTACAGGGATTTTTTTCCTTCTTGGACATTTTTGTGCTAAGCCATGAAGTCAAGCATATTTTAGGTTAAAACTGATGCTTTTCTCTTGAATGTTGTTGTTGGAATAAATTAGTACAGTTTTTCTAGAAGAATACCTTTTTACCCAGAATTTCATTTCTAGAATTTTTTTTTGACAACTCTGCAGAGAAGCTTAAACAAAAATGTTGAAAGCGACTTTATTTATAATAGTGAAAAATTACTAATAATATAAATGTCCATTCAAGATTGGTTAAACCTCAGTATACCAAGAAAAATAGTCATCATCATTTATCATCTGGGGCTAATGGGCCTTATTTTTTAATTTTAAAGCCATCTTGTGGTTAGTACACAGAAGTATAAATAAAGGGACAGTGAAGATCAACTTTATTAGAAATTTTCAGAAGAATTTAAGCATAGCAAGTCAAAAAAATTAAACTGTTATATTGAGAGATAACATGCATGCCCTAAAATTCACGAATTTGAAGTATGTAATTCAGTGGGTTTTAGCATATTTTGCAGATGTTCAAATATCACTGTCATAGTTTTAGAATACTT